TGAAGCAGTTTGTGTCCTGTATCTGTGACTCCCAGGAGGTTTTTTTGCTGTACTCTATAAAGCATTGCAAAACCTTCCCAGTCTCTGTTAGCAGTGTAGAAGGAATGATAAAAAAAACACATTCCCCTAAATCCCAGTACTTGGATTAAAACCAGGGAAGGATAGGCTGACTCTGCAGCTCAGTTTTTGGAAATATTAGGAAAAATTGCCAATGGCAGTGACGTGGCGTTAGTGTGAATTCCCAGCAGGCTGAGTTTTGGGGTGGTTTGGGTTTTCCCAAAGGCTTTTTCAGGCTCTCAGCATTATGAAATACAAAGTGGCTGGATCAGCATGGGTTTTGGGGAATGGCTGCTCCGTGGGATTTTTTTAGTGACTTTTTCCCGGTATCCAGTCACCAGCTTTGTCACTCTTCCGCATCCAGCTCCTTCTTCTCTTTAGTTTTTACCACAAATATAAATGGGGCAATTAAAAGGATCCGTGGAGAGCATTCCTGAGGACTGAAATCCAGGATCTGGGAGCAGACGGCAGCAGCATAAAGAGGAATTCTTCCCTCTCTGGCCTCATGCTGCTTTTCCACCACAAGGCTTTACAGCCATCTGGATCCCCTTTCAGATTATGCCCCCCCTCCCAAAAATCCATAACCTAGCAACCTTATTTAGTGTAAACGAGAGCATTGTGCCTTCCTGCTTCCAAATTTGTGCTTGGCTCCTCCGACCGCCTTTATGGGACGACTGCTGTGATCCCATCGCCAGCACAGGGTGCCTGTCTCCAGCAGGATTTTGTAGGATTATTGAGTCCTGAGTGTTGCACTTATTATTTTTTCCCCATTAAAGGAGCTTAGAAAACAGAGGGGGAAAAGGGTTTCAGGAAGTTGTGTCGTCCATCTGCTTCCCGATATGAAAGAGTGGAGAGGGCAAGTTACTCTTTGGCTCCACGGAAAGCGATTGGCTTTGGTTCAGCCTTGAAGACTTGATCAAAGTGGGATTTTTTTCTTCCAGATGTGATATTTTGGGAGTCCCTGTTGCTTCCCCCAGCTCTGTGTCATCACCCGGGAATTTTCAAATTCCCTGGAGCGTTTTACACCAATTTCTCTGCTTTGACCCTTCAGCTGCCTAGGTTGAGTGTTTCTCATGGAGTTTCCGGCTTGCTTTCCCCAAGGATCCTCTTAATTGAGGAAAACTGCAAACCAGGAAAAGCAGCCACAAATGAAGGTGGAAGATTATTCCCACCAAATCAAGCAATAGGGACAAGGGAGCTGCAAAGGTGTGGTCTGAGGCTGCCCACCCCTATGGTGATGTCTGTGCTCTCATTGCTCTGCTTGGGCTAAAAGGCACCCAAATTTAATAACATGTGTGATGTTAAATTTTTTTATCATGGGATCCCATTACCATCAGTCCTTACAGGGAACCAGGGGCTGCTGCCTTCTCCTTTCACCCCGTGAGCAGGATTGGGGGCAGGAGGAGGCAGCGGCACATCCTTTCCCACCACACTTTCAGGAGGAAGAGTGAGCTCAGCGGGTCATGACGTTGGAGCTGCGTACCGGGAAAAAGGGGAAAAAAGTAATTACAAATCTCCAGGGCCAAAGGGGAAAAGTTCCTCCAGTGTTATTTCATCTCTGAGCAGCGAGTTGAGCCACCCTGGGGCAGCCTGTGTGTGCCCTTCCGAGCGAGGAGCTGCCGGCTCTGCTTCACACCCTCCTGAGAAGTGACTTCCAGCTCCCATTTCTGATGGGAGCCCGAGCAGGGCTGTCCTCCAAACTCTGCTTCCCCCTCCTCCAGACAGGATTAAAAAGCGCCATTGATTTTTATTTTTTTTTTCTGTTTATTTTTGCCTGTTTTCCTGGAACTTGCAAAATCGGCCCTGAGCAAACCTCTGGTTTGCTTTTCCAACGGCTCTGGGAGAAAACTTGACTTTAAATTGGGTGATGGGAGCTGCAGCTGCCCCATGTCTGCACGTTCCCCTGCCAATGGCAGCAAAAACATTTTCCCATTTAAGGGTTCTCTTCAGTCTTCAGGTTCTGGGATTGTTTGTGTGTTAAACTGCCCGGAATCAAAAGGACTTGCTGGAAATGGCAGTGGTACCAGTTGCGCCGCCGGGTGTTTCTTTCCTTAGAAAGACTTCCCTATTCTTTTCCAGTGGCTGATTGCTTTGGCACATTGTCACATCACTCTGTGTCCCCTGCCCAAAGGCAGTGGAGAGGGTTAAGGCTTTGTGTTTGGTGTCAGCCAGCCAGGGAATGCAGCCAGGAAATTTCCTGATTCTTGTTCAAAAAAAGCATCGGATCCGCTCTTGGGGAGAAGGGATCAAAAGTCCAAAGTGATTTGTGGTTGGAGGTTGGTTTGGTCTCTTGGTTGTCCAGGCACACAACAAAAACCCACCACCACCCCCCAGGCCTGCACACGGCCAAAATGGGTGAAACAAACAGGTTTTTGTTCCATTTGACACCCAAAAATTGTTTCTATTGCTGCTGGTGGTGCTGCATCGCCTCATCCGAACTTTGCTGGATGTCTGCACGACTCTGCCTGTGATGTGAGGGACTTGTTGGGATGCTCCCCCTTCCCAGCAGATTAATCCCACTAATCATTAACACTGCCAAGCCCTGTGCCATCGCTCACGCTCCTCCTCCACTCACTGCCAGATGTTTGGAATGAAGGATGTGGGTCAGTTGGATGCTCGGAGCTGGCGCTGGATGCAGCACCATCCCCACGGTACCATCGTAGCTCTATAAAATCACAGCATGCCAAGAGTTTTTGCTTTCCCCTCACTCTTAATCCGGTTGTTCCCTGATTTGGGACAGCAAAGGCAATCGCTCCCACCTGGAGCACTGAGATTTCCCCTTGCTCCATCCCGGGAAAAGGCAGTGCAGCTGCGTGGCACCTCTAGGGCGACAGCAGTGCTGGTTCGGGGCTGGCTCTGCAGCTGCCTGTGATTTTCCCATCGCTGCGGATCCTGGCGCTGGACCAGCTCCAGAGATGGAGCTGAAGGAAATTCCTTCCAGCTGCTTGAGGTCAGGGCTTCGCTTTGCTTTTGGGGTTCACGAGGGGGATTTTTTTGCCTGCGAGTTAAACGCAGGCGTCTCCGGCCGCTGCTTCTTAACACCTGGAAAAATCCTTTTCTTTTAAACATTATCCTGCTACTCATAGCCATTAAATAACCTTCCTGTTGTGGAATCATTCCGTGGAAGAATACCCCGCTTTGCAGCGCAACTTGGGCTGTTTCAGAAAGGTCTTGTCAGCTGCTCCCAGTTTAACTTTCAACCGAGTTAATAAGGCTTTTGGTTAAACCTGTCTGAAACACGTTGCGAAACGCCTTTGAAACTCGAGACGCCGTTCACGCCCGCTTGAAATCTTTCCCATCGATAAAATGTTTCAACTTGGAGTTTGGCCATGGCTTAGCATTGGCTCTTCCCTGAGATTCGTGATTCCAGACCTGCCTGTGTCTGGCTCTGCTATATTTTTAAAGCTCAGTGTTTCCTGGAGATGGGTTGGCCTCGCCAGCCTGGCCGATGGGATGCTGCTCAGACCAACAGCTTCATCCAGCTTCCCCAGTTAATGGCTGAGGAGATCCAGTCTGAGTTTGCTTTGAATCCCTGCAGAGAAAGTTGTTTTTCTTGAAAACATAACTTAAATCCTTCTAAAAATGGGGTTTTGTTCACAACAGCAGAGGCAGAAGCCACCCCTCCACCCTGTGCATGGGCTGTATTTAGGCATGATGATGCACAGCACTTGCCTGGCCCCTTTGTGCACTGATGTTATAAATAAATAATCATAAAATTTTTAAAAAGAGGACAAGCAGCTCCTTTTAATAAGTAAAACCCCGAGAAGGAGCACGCAGTTCAAATCCATGTGGCAAAGCAGCAGGAAAGCAAAAATCTGCGGCTTTCAGCCCATGGGTGACGCTCATGGCGTCACCTACAGCGGCATCCCTGGTGCCACCCCCCCTGCTCAGGGATTCTGCCTCACTTCCCTCCTCCCTGCCTCAGTGTCTCTACCTGTGAGAAGATAATTGCCTCCCTCATTAATCCCTCTGCCATCTCCGAGGGACGCTCTGGGTGAGAGGTTGGCCCCGCATTAAGTGCCCGCTCTGGCTCTAATGGGGATTAATTTGGCGACGTGGCTTCTGGAGGTTTGCCTTTAACAGCCCAAGGTGTAATCAAAGGGCGAGCTCAGGCTGACCTGTAACACTCCCTTCCTGACTGCTCGATAGCCCATTAACCACAACCTGGCTTTTAATTAAAGCCCGGTTTTGTCCTCGCTGGAGAAACTTGGACGTGCTTGGCCCCACGTGGCTGAGACATTGGAGGGTGGAAGGAAGGAGACGCGGAGCTCGGGTTGTTCTTCCCTGTGGCATTGCCCCCTCTGGCTCTCTGCATCCCAGCACACTTCTTCCTTGTTATGCTCTATATGCTACAGAATCACAGAATCATGGTATGGTTTGGGTTGGAAGGGACCGTAAAGACCATGTTGTTCCACCCCCCTGCCATGGACCGGGACACCTTCCACTATCCCAGGTTGCTCCAAGCCCCATCCAACCTGACCTTGAACACTTCCAGGGATGGGACAGCCACAGCTTCTCTGGGAAACCTCTGCCAGTGCCCCTTTCCTATATGCAGCTTGTGCCCCCCATTGTGGGGGATGCAGGGACCTCCTGGGGGCCGTGGGTGCCCCACAAGCATCACCTTTCTGCTCTGAGATTCCTTGGCCACGGAGAGAGCAACAGGGAGGCTTTTGTTCTGCACCAGAAACTTCTCATCCTTCTTTATGCCTCCTTTTTTATTTCTTTTGGCTGCTCTCTCGCAAATCTGAAGCAGATTAAAATACAGTTCCTCCCCCCCACACTCGCCTTAAAAAAACCCAACCCCAAAGCTTGGCTGCTTGGAATCATCAGATTTCACTGGAGTCTTTTAAAGTTAACAGTTTCCTGGATCCTGGGCAGGATAACTGATTTTCCCCCTTTAACCTCTGTGGTTTTTGCTGTAACATTTCTCAGCTGTTGCAGCAGGAGGGAGGGAGGACCGGGGCAGCTCCGATGTGGAGAAGGTTATTCCATGTGGGTGTTGGATGAATCTGGTGTGGGACTCGCTGGACTTGCACCGTGGGGGACTGAAGGGTTGTCCTGGGAGGCTGAGCCCCCACGGCATGGCCGGCAGGTAGGTCATGGCTGCATCGGTGATGTCCTTTTGAGACAAAATATTTGGGAAGTGGTTCCATTGGAAGGAGAGAGTAGGATGCTGGGAGTGGGTCGGAGCTCTGTTTCTGCCAACTGTTTATTTGCTGTGATGGTTTTGGGGACTGGTACAAGAGCGGCACAGCTCAGGTGCACGCAACCATCCGGAATTTTTCAGGCTTCCTGGGATTTGCTGCCCTAAATGCAGCCTGGATCCTCCTTGCCCACCGCCTCTACCATAGAATCTCCTGGTGGAATTGCTGAGCCAAAACCCTGGCTCTGATCAGAAGAGCATCAGAAGTTAAAGGAGTTGTAAAGGAGAGAAAAATGATAGTCCTGCGCCGGTTGGTTTTGTTGCCTCTTTTCCAAAAGTGGTCTCTCCTTCCTTGCAAAAAAACCATCCGGAACTTTCCCAGATGGAGGACGTTTCTCCGGGGTGGTTGAGGGGCTGGAGGCGGCCAACCTTGGCCGACACTGGTGATTATCAGCACGAGCCCCAGGGCGAGGTGGGGCAGCCAAAGCCTCGTCCTGCAGACACATCCTCGTGCTCTGAGCGTGACCGAGGGGAGTCCCTGAACCGTCCAAAGACCCCTTTGACCCAGGAAACAGAGCGGGGCTGAGAACCAAACCCAGCCCCGCTCCGCGACGCCGAGCTGCGCATTAACTCCATGGGAGCCGGGAACAAAGGTTTTGGGGGCTGGTTTGGGCTTTTTTTTTTAATTTATTTGCAAAGCAAACCAGCTCAGCAGAGCGGAACAAGCGTCGGTGGAGGAGCGGGAGCTGCCGGGTGGTTGCTGGGCTATAAAATCCCATCCCCACCGGCGCTGGCAGGGGGATGTGCCGGCTCCCCGAGCTCTTGCGGCGTTTCCACGTTGGCCGGGAGAGGTTCTGAACATGCGTGTTGGTCTCTGGAGGCTTTAATCAAATCCAGGCTCTACCAGAAGTCGCCTCGAAACTTCCAGCGAGCTGAGGAAACTGAAAGCAGCCGGAGCAAGGAGGCTCCCGGACGGGTGTTCGGTGCCTGTGGGAATGCTGCCTGTGGTGAGGGGATAGAGCCTGTGGGGCAGCCGGGATGAAAGGTGAGTCTAGACCTGGAGATTATGATGGGAAGACAGAGGAAAGCCCAAAGGGTTCGGCAAAAAAGAGACCTCAAGGGGAAAAAGAGATTCAGAAGTGAGGATGCTGCTTGAAGGGACACTCAGAGGACACTGATTTTGGAGCGTCGCTCCCTGGCACATTTGGGTTGAGATCCTGCGTTTTCCCCATTGTTCTTCTCACCCTGTGCAAAACAAGGAGCTGTGCAATTGCTGCGCCGTCGAAAACTCCCCGCTCCAGGGGAGGCTTTTGTTATCCCTCGGTGATTTTATTTGGCAAACAGCGTTCAGACTGCAGGTACTTTCCTTGCTTGTTGCCAAACTTCATCGCGCGCCGCGTCCAGCCCTCTCCCGTGGGCAGAAGGGAAAACAAGGTGTATTTTGTAACTTCCTTTTCTGAGCTGGGGGCGGGGGAACTCTGTGCCTGGCCAGCGACGGTTGGGCTCATCCGAGGGCGAACGGCTCGGAGAGAACGATGGAAAGATAAGGAATAATAAATAAGTGCAATTAAAATCCTGGGGGGGGGGGGGGAGATGATACACCGCAGTCGTTATCCCAGGCAGCTGCTCGGGGTTTAACCGGGGCTCTCCGAGGGGAGGGAGGTTCTGGTCACGCGTCCCAGACGTGGTTCGTGACAGCCAAAATCGCCGCGCCTTCCTCTTGGCCGCCGGTGCCTCGGGGCTTTCCTGGGGGGTTGTGCTGGGGAGTTAAAAGCTGAAACCTGCAAAAATGCTCTTAAACCACCAAACCCGGATCTCACACGGGAAAACAAACAAAGCCTCTTTTACAGACTCCATAGTCTCCCCGTGATTTCGCTCAGCGGTGCTGCTGCATGGCCTGGGAATGTCCGTGTCCTCTCCCTTCTGCTGGCCATGCACTGCATGCCAGACCCTCAATGCTTTTGGAGGGGGGGTTGTAAGGGATGAGGAATCAGTCTTGGAAACTGCTGGAGGGGAAAGGAAGGAAAAACTGCCTTGCTCCAAGGCTTTCTGGCTGCTTTCAGTATTTTTACCCCGTTACTGAGAGGTTTGAGGGGCACTAGGGTTGCTTGGATGCAATTCCCAGCCATCCATCTGATGCAGCGTTTAACTGGAAGGGTGACGTGTGTAAGGAAAATAGCTGGAGGAGAAGCTCACAGCAGGAGAGGGAAAATCCCAGCCCTGGCTGAACCAGCCCACTTTGTTTTCAGGTTTACCAAGCTGGGGGCTCAGTTTTGGGCAAGGATGGCTTCACCTCAGAGGGGGACGAGTGAGAAGTCACCTTCTTCCCCCTCCGCCTCCCTTTGGAGGGACTGCTGGTCTCCAGAGTGCATCCTGAAAGAACCTCACATCCATGTGTTTTCTTCCTGTCTCCACAGCCTACCCATGAGCTCGGACTTCCAGCATTACAGTTTCAGGATGCCGAACATCGGGTTCCAGAACCTCCCTCTCAACATATACATCGTGGTTTTCGGCACGGCCATCTTCGTCTTCATCCTCAGTTTGCTCTTCTGTTGCTACTTGATCAGGTAAGGGAAGGTTGTAAGAGGAGTGTTCCCCAAGAGCTTCCCTGGTTCTGAGCCTGCCACTGATCCCTCTCCATCCCAAGGAGAGGGTGGCATCATCTTGTCTTCCCATGAACCTGACGCCCCTCAAGGCAGTCACATTATCCACTTAAAAAAACCAGGAGACGCACGTGTGCTCAGGCAGGCATGGAATCAAAAAGCCTGGGAAGGGGCGTTTTACGGTCCCTGCTTTCTGCTTAATGTTTCAACACGTTTGCCTCTGTAATGAGTAACTCGTGTCCCATGTGCTTAAGGAATGTTTAATACCTGCTCCGTTGGTTATTGGACACAAATTGCTCCTTCAACAGCGCAGTTTGGAGATTAATGATGCAGAGTTGATGTGTTAATCTGAGCGATGGGGAGCGGGACAGGAGGGCCAAAGGTTGTTCCAGTTTGGGGCTTATTTTAATTATTTTATGGGCCGTTGGGGAGATTGTTGGGCTGCTAATTGAGAGGAGAAAACTCTTCCTGCCGGAGGGAAAACAAAAGCCAAATGGGGAAAAGTGCAGTGCCTGGGGATTGAGGTGGTGATGGGGGCGAGGTGTGCTGAGAACCCGGGATGGGGGGCTGGCTACACCACTCCCTGTGGCTGGGAGCAGAGGGCATCACTGCCAGAAGTGGCAGCCAAAATCCTGTGTGCCCAGAGCTCTCCTCTCCAGCTTTTCCATGCCCTTTCCCTTCCCTCTGGCTTTTCAGCTGGCCCCAGCTCCCTGCTTGTCATACATCCATTGCATCCCTTCCCTCTGTCCCCATAAGACAGATTCCCAGTCTCTCCTTGCACCATGGAGCCCTGCTCACAGCAGCCATTCCCACCAGGTTTTCTATCCAGAAGGTGCTAAAAATATTTTGTCCTGCTTTCTTAGACCTGGGAAGAGAGATTTCCATGTCACCTCCTAAATACTTGGTAATTTCCACCCATTTTCAGCTCTCTACAAAGCAAAACCTCATAAAACATGCAGATGAGCCCAGAACCAGGTTTACCCAGGGGTGATTTGGGCTGCATGGGCATCATATCTTAATTTTTTCCCCACAATTATGCACAAGAAAAAGGTGTTTTAAGGTGCAACACATCTGTCCCTCCTGCTAGACGAGGTGGTTGTTCACATTAACATCATGGTGCTCGATGTTAACAAGGTCTGTGCTGGGATTTGCATCCAGTTGTTTGCATTTTAACTGGGACACCAGTGGGAGGGGATGCAAAATAAAAAAAATAGACCAAAGGTGTTCAGAAGGCTCAGGTGGAGCTCGAATCCATACAGCTCGCTTGGAAAATGAAGTGGTGTTTTGGGCTTTGAGAGTATTTTCCTGGGCACCAGGTCTTGCTGGGTGTGTTCTGCCCCAAAGAAGGAATAACAAGGAGTAATGTCTGGAAGGTCAAGCCAGAAAATCTTTAAATATAGAAGTTGGAGGCGTGTTGTAAGAGAGAGGGTGAGTAACCGGTGAAAGGAGCCAGCAAGGAAGTGGCAAGTCCTGTGTCTCTTCACGTCTTTAAATCAAGACCGAGGACCTTTCTGGACGAGACATTTTGGCTCCTGTTCCCGAGGTGCTATTTAGCAACTTATGATAGATGGGAGGCTGGATTAGATCATCCAGTGATCCCTTTATAGCCTGAAACTCTATAGAGACTCTACAAATGGCTCTTCAGACCTCCTCCCTCAGCTCTTCTATTGGCAAAACAGAACCAAAACAGGATCCTGCAGCCCCTGTTTTGGAGGGTTTTGCCGTGCCGCGGGTTTTAGCTGTGCCAGTGTCCCGGGAGCATCCGCCTCCACGGAAGCTGCTGTGTAATCACAGCTTGTGGAGGATATAAAATGAGCTTTGGTGGGGTTTGGGGAGCCTTGTAGGTGGAGAGCAGGATGAGGACCACCCACCTGCAAGGGCAGAGAGACCAACCCAGGCAGAGGGCCAGGACGATCCCCTCAGGAGCTCCACTTGTATCCATAGGGGTTATTTGCAGATAACAGCACCCCCATAGGTGCAGAGTCAACACAGCCCACACCTTCCCTCTCCCTGCTTTCCTGTGCCTCCACATCTGCAAATATTTGGCAAATACCAAGTGAGGCTGGTGATACCACCCTGGTTCTCATGGCCTGCTCTGAATCAGAGCATCCCATGCAGCTCTCCTCTGCATCCATGGAAAAACCAGTGTCTGGTGTATTCACCCCAAATCCAGAGCTGAGGCCTTAAATAAAGGATGTGCCAGGGGAGGAGAGAACATAGGCTGTGCTTCTCAATTGTGTCAATACAGAACATGCTGCCAGCTCCAAAGGGAGGAAAAGTGGCATTTTTAGTTAATTGGATTGGCTCAAAAAAGAGTCTTACAGGGATTTCAGCACAAAGCACAGCAAAGATCATCGTTACCTGTGCACTGTCCAGGTGAATCTTGAGCTCTTCCGCTGCTGCAAACCACTCAGACCAAACCTGGGGTCCCTCCTGGCTGCTGCCTCTGCTTGGAAAAATTACAGATAAAAAAGGGAAGAACAAGGAAATTAAGTTTTGCAGGTGGCTGGTTGTGTCTGATCTCTGCTGAATTAATGAAAGTGATAAAATCGTGTTGCCTTCGGTCCCATAAAACCCAGTCCAGAAGGATGCTGAGCTGAGCAATGCCACGCTCACCCTGAGTGAAGGCTGCAGCATCTTCTCTCCATGCTTTCTGCAGGATCACATGGGGCTCATCCCAGCCCAGGTTAGGGCAGCTCAAAGTCTCCAGGAGGTGCAGGGAATGCAGCCCCTAAAAAGCCCATTTTTTGGGGGGCTGTTTCCTTCTGCATTCAGACCTGCCAGGATCCAACGCTGGTTTTGTGTCAGAGAAGGGAATGGAGCTGGGAAGGGTCTGGAGCACCAGGAGCTGCTGAGGGAGCTGGGGGGGCTCAGCCTGGAGAAAAGGAGGCTCAGGGGGGACCTTCTGGCTCTGCAACTCCCTGACAGGAGGGGGGAGCAAGGGGGGGTCGGGCTCTGCTCCCAGGGAACAAGGGACAGGAGGAGAGGAAATGGCCTCCAGTCATGCCAGGGAAGGTTCAGGTTGGATATTAGGGATAATTTCTCCACCAAAAGGACTGTTCGACCCTGGCACAGCTGCCCAGGGCAGTGTTGGAGTCCCCATCCCTGGAGGGATTTAAAAGCCACATAGATGTGACACTTGGGGACATGAATTAGTGGTGGCCTTGACAGTGCTGGGGGAATGGTTGGACTTGATGGTCTTGGAGGGCTTTTCCAACTTCAATGATTCTGTGATTCCATGAAGAGTCCAAGGAGCCCAACTGGGCTGGGAACAGCGACAGTGATGGGGCAGAGTCAGTGCCTGCCTTTCTATTTATTCCTTCTACTATGGAGCATGAAATAAGCAGATCTTGGAGGTAAATCTGCAAAAAGTGTTCCCTCTGCATTTTATTCCTGCAGTCGTTCCCTTGCCATAGGTGATTCAGTCCCCCAGAGGAGCAGGGCACTCCCATTCCTGCAGGAAGACATCCCAAAGCCCGGGAGAGGTGGATATTAAACTGGGGGCTGGGTGACGGCGCACACACGATCCGCAGCCACGCGCTGTGTGGTCCCTTATCTCGGGCAGACATCTGCCAGAAATTCCTGCGGAGTCACAGCGCTTGACACGAGATGGATGGAGCCCTGGGCCTGCCAGGATCCGGGCTCTCCTTACGACAGCTGCGCCAGGCCCGACCAGGATCCATCTGGCTCTGGATCCTGGCTTTGAAAGGGAAGCGTGGAGGAGCGGACAGAGCTCGCACGCTCCGGCACCAGATGTGCTCGTGCTGCTCCCCGTAACCTCCAGGGAGGGATTTTTTGGGAAAAACTCCCTGTCTAGCTCAGCACCGACCCTTGGCATCGTAGCGCCTGTGCTGACAGCACGGAGCTGCACAGATCCAGGGCCAGGTGGCTCCTTCTTCCCCATTGCTGGTCCAGATACTCCAGTGGCTTTGGCTCACCAAATCCTTGGTGGCCAAGGATCCGTCAGGCGGGTGTTTCTTCCCATTCCGGGAGAGTTTTCCCGTTGTATGTGGTCTGCAGCCTCACGCCGTGCCTCTCTCCATCTGTGTTTCATAACTGCTTTCCCAGCCACCGGATCCCTGCGGATTGGGCCGGTTTCATCCTGTTTTCTCTATTGTTCCTGCATCTTCTGCTCATGTTTCTGCTCGGGGTCACTGGCAGAGGGATGCGACCCCAGCCTCCTCCTCCTCCCCTTCCCTGCCTGCTGCAGTGTTTTCCATGGTTCTGCAGGAAGGTTCCTGCCAGGCAGCACTGTTGGAGCAGGAGGAATGGCTCCCCATAAAATTTGGGACTCGGGAGCCAACTTTCTCCATCTCTCTCTGCAGCATTAAGGTGTGTTTTTACCCATTCCTCAACTTTTCAGGCCTGCATTTTAGGGGGAGACCCGAGCACAAGGATATATTTTTCCATCCTATTTTTATAACTCACCCACTGCGGCGTGACGGGATTGGAAAACCCCCATGAGCTCAGCCAGGGGTTTGAGACAGCCCCCAGAATAATATTTTCGGAGAAATTAAATTCCAGACAAGGGGGTTTCCCTCTGAATTCACAGTGAGGACTGGCTGGGGAAAATACTCCTACAGCTCTCCAAGCCCTGCAACCACACACTGACTCCTTATGGAAAGTCCTTGGCCAACTCTTCACCTTAGATGTCTTCCCTCCTGAGCTTCCAGAGCACTTCACTAAGAACCATGTCTGGTGATGAGAGGAAATATTAGTTATTTTTTTATTTTAAATGTATTTATTTTGGGATCATAATGGGCCTCTCCAGCCAGTGGATGCCTGTGGAGCGCTGCCCTGGGCTGTGGAAAACAGGCTGCTCTTGGTTTTGGCTCTAGAAAGAGGAGTCTGGAGAGGGAGGGGATGGAACCAGCTCTTTGCTTGTGGCCTCAAATTCCTACTGCCACCAGCTGGACTTCCCACTGCAGCAGGTGTCCTTGGAATAGGTTCATCCCATTCATCTCCATCCCCTGATTTGCTCCAGGAGTGGATGTTGTTCACTGATTGTAGAATTGAGAGGATAACGCTGAGTTTGAGCAACCCAGCGTTGCCCAAGCAGCAGGATGGTGGGAAACCTTGGGGCAGGGAGGTCTCCTTCCCCATCCTTACTGGAGTAGGAGAGGAGCTTTCCTCAGGTCTGAGTCCCCATCACTTTGAAAACAGCGCTCTGTCCAGTCTAGGAATTGCTGGCAGCAGAAGTGGTTGGAAACTGAGGGAGATTTGTGGCAGCTTGTGATTTACCCATCAGCCTTTACTGGTCTTAACAGTGTGGGTGATGTCTGCATGTCCTCAAAAGAGGAACAGGGGAACAGTTGTGTGCTTTGGGATGGAGACATTCCCTTCCCAGCAACAGGGAAAATTGGATGTTTCTTAAACATGTTGTTTCACGTGGCCATTCTCAGTTCTGAAATGAAAAATTAAAAATTAATATATTAGATCTGGAAAGGAGGGAAGGGAAACATTTGAGGTGTTGCAGTAATCCTGGGTTTTTTGCCTGTCCTCACGTTTCTCCCTGGTTTCCTTACAGGCTCAGGCACCAGGCACACAAAGAGCTTTACGCCTACAAACAGGTGAGATGACCCTCAGGAAGTTTCCCCCTCCTTCCCTTCGTGCCTAGTGCCAAATGCACATTGGAGCAGCCACTCCATCAGGTTTCCTTGTGCTGATCCTCTCCTTGGGAGGTTTTTGGCCCTGGAAGAGCAGTTGTAACAATCTCTGTCCCTGGTGATTTAATTGTTCTCCACCAGCTGGGCCACCCAGGACCATCCCTCACCTGCTCCTCCACAGGTCTCCAAGCAGTGGGAACATCCCCAGCCACCAAACCATGTTTTGTGGGGTCTGAATCTGCTCCCAGGGTTGGACCCGGCTGCTCCAAACCCACAGAGCTCTCCCAGGGAACAGCCCCACGTCCCCTTGGCAATCCCAGCTCTACCCTGCAGACACCCATGATACCCAGTTAAAATAAACAGGGCCCAGAGGTGGGTGTCAAGTTGCTGCTTCCACGTCCTGTTTTCTCCAGGATTGATGGGATTTTTCTGCCTCTGATCCGTTGTTCAAGCAGGAAATTGGGTGGGGTCAGGGTGGTAGCAAACCGTTGTCCTGGATTTATGGCCCTCTCCAGGTGTTCAGCCTGGATGGAGTGAGAATGAAGTGGCAGATATCCATGCAGGGGCTTGTGGCAGAGTATGGGAGCCCAGGAGGGTTAAATTTGGGAAGAAACCTCCTGGATTTGGTCCTTGTGTTCGTGGTTTTGTCTTTGCCAGCACTGCTTTCCTCCTGTCCCTGCTCAGGGGTGAAGGCCCCACGCACTCCTTGGTGGTGCCAGGTTTGCTGGGAGGTTCCCAATTCTACTGGGACACTCAACTGCATCTCTTTATGGAGACTTTTCCTGGGAATGCTCACAGCAGCAGCTCTGTCCTGACCCCAGCACTTTGTCTTGCAGGTTATACTCAAGGAGAAGGTGAAGGAACTGAACCTCCACGAGGTGAGCACATCCTGGGCAGCAAAGGCTCCCTCACCCTCCTCTTCCTCACGCTGGGGAGGGGTAAAATCCTCAAATTTAACTCCCTTGGGAGCAGGGCACACAGCCAGGTGTGCTTTGGAAAGGAGGAAAGGCGTGGATTAAACCACCTCCCTCCTCTTGGCTCCCCTCGAGCTTTCACTGCACCATTATTATTATTTATTGCCTTATTATTATGGCAGCGATAAAGAGCTGTGGATAAGGGGAGGCCAAGGAAAGCTGGGCCTTGGATAAACAGTGTCCCTGGGCGGGGACGTCCCCTCCGGAGCGTGACGATATCCAGCGCAGCTCTGGGCAGGGAAAACTGGAGTCTGGGATAAACACCCTCCCCCAGCCCCTGGGAGAGGCAGATCCACCTCTCCCTCCCTGCCCTGTGAGGTCTGAGACACCTCTGTTGTTCTCCATGATCTTCCAGGCCTTTTGGGGCTGAGTGTCCCCACTTACAGCCCATTTTTCCCGCTGAAGTTGAGCAGGAATGTGCTCGAATCCCACGTCAAACATGGGCTGGATTTATTTATTCCCCTAAAGACAACAGAAATGCCCACCCACGTCCCGGGCACGAGGCCACTCATCTGCTCAGTGCCAGCTCCAGTTGTTTATAAGCCACTATTTATTTTACTTTAATTCCCTGGGCAGAGCCCATCCCACGTTTTACCCTCACCCTCCGCTCCCCACGGCCGGGGGATAAATCCCAAGGACCCCAGGGTTCCGAGCAGTCCCCGCTGGAGGCCCCTATTTCTGATCCCTTCCCTGCAATCGACCTGCAGTGCTTTTTTTTTTGTCGGCAAACGGACTTCAAAGCACTTCCCAGGGTTGTAGGAGGGATTTGGGAATGTGCCAGAGTCGGGAACAGCAGCAGTAACGCTCCGTCCTGCTCCGTCCCTCCTCCTCTACGTCTCTTCCCAGCTCTCCGCAGCTCTCCCAGCTTTTGGGGAGGACAGGGAGTGTGTGGGGAAGGACATAGAGCAGCTCAGGCTCTTCCCTGGGGTTTGCAAAAGGCTGGAAGGGTTTTGCTCCAGAATATCCCTTTTTGGGCATTTGGATCCTGGCTTTTACAGTAAGTGTTTCTGGAAAGCAGAGCACGGGGTGGGAATTTTCCAACATGACGGGGCGGCCACCCGGAGCCCTGAGGGGCCAGCCCTTCCCCCCATCTCTGGGTTTGGTTTTCCCCTTTTTCCATCATTCCGCCTCTCCCAGGCCCTGGGGGAGCTCGGGATGTGTGTGTTCCTTGGGGGATGGTCCTGGCAGCTGTGCCTGGCCCTTGTTGTGGACAGACACAGATCCCGGGCCGAGGGGGCTGGGAAAACCAGCCGGGAATACCCAAAATCTCCAGGAATATCCAAAATGAGTCACGACTAAGCAGGAAAGGAGTTTTCAGCTGAGTCTTTTGCCTGCTGGGAAAACAGCCACCAGCTTTCCCAGCCCTGGGATAGATGCACCCTTTGCCTTTTCCTGTTCCTAGAGTTATCCCTGTGTATGCAGCTCGGGCCTGGGGACAGCAGCAGTGTCCATCCCCCTGCACCCTAAAAGCTCCTGGCACATCAAACACATCCCAGCTTCGTGGCTGTTGCTCTGGGAAGGCTCCAGGGTCCCTTCTGCCAGGAAAGGGAGACCCCAGGCTGAGCCTGGCCAGTAAAATTTGGGAAGGTTTTAGGGAGGATTTCACCCCTCTGATGCAGGTGGTGAGGCCCTGGCACAGGTTGCCCGGAGAAGCTGTGGCTGTCTCATCCCTGGAAGTGTCCGAGGCCAGGTTGGATGGGGCTTGGAGCAACCTGGG